TCTAATAAGAGTAAGCCTAAAATGGATGAGCATCAAAAGCGCAATTTAATAACGTAATGTAAATATGAATGCTAACTGCATTATAACCCATTTCGATATATCAAAATATGTAAATTCAAATAATGTATTATTCCGTGTAAACAGTCTATTATCCATTTGTTTCCATATTTGACGACCAATGGGATTAATTGATGACATTATTATTTTGTTTATACTCTTACAATAGACCTATCTGTTCAAATAGTCATCGAGATAACTTTTTCGGTTGACCATACATTATGTGTCAGAAAAGTTTGGTATGGAACAATGTAGGTAATTTTATGTTATCCATCGTGTTCCATATAATGAATTCAAAATTCCCAGGCTTAGATTTATTCTTTAACAAGATACAGACAGTCATAAATTCCAAGAAATCCATACTCAAAATTGATTTACATTAGAAAAGATTTATCAATATACAAATTAAAACCAGAATCGCACACACACATACACAAAAGACAATTTTTCACATCCCTTTATTTACCATGAGTCTAATTTAATTACATTACAAATTATATAAATATAAAATTATATAATAAGCAAAGATAGATGATGGCTAGCAGTGGAATCCAGAATGCGTGTTCCGTCCTAATTGGAACTCGTCAGTTGGACGTACCTGCATCCCAGAGTTGATGTTTACACCGGGACTGTAACCCAGTACTGCTCACTCCAAACGTTTCAAATCACGTTATCCACTTACCTAATGAGTCCTGATAGCCAATTGATTGCGCAATGGGTTGAAGTTTAAATCCATTTCGTATTATTTGTTTGAATTTTCCCATTAATGTTTATGACTGCAATTGATCAGAATCTTATTGGCATATGTGTATCCAGTGAGGTTTACCACGAGTCCCGGAGTGAACATGAATTGTGGGATGGCAGTACATCTAACTGACGAGTTCCAATTAGGACGAAATGCTCATTCTGGATTCCACTGCTAGCCACCATTTATCTTTGCTTATAATCCCTGTGACTTAAAGCAATATCGAGGCAATACGCATATGATGCATATATGTCAATAATAGACTGATCAGTTGCAGTCCTAAACATCAATGGGAAGATTCAAACAAACAACACAAGATGAATAAAATTACATACTTTTGAAAGAGAACTCATTAAGAAAACAGTTCTCTGTTTAATCACTCCTTATATAGTTGTTTGTTCAGGCGGTATGTTGCCAGTGGAATTCGAAGGTTCCATTGAGATCATGGAACGGTCAGTGTTACGCCACCATTGAAAACACTGAACAGCCGTTTTGTCCTACTACTGGACTCTTCAGCGGTGGGTATCCATGATAAACAGGATCTTACGCGAACGCTTAACCTCTAGACAACTGAGCTGAAATTCAGTGGTGTTAGTGGCTAAATTCAACCAATCCACAATATTGCACGACCATCTTCCATTATGTTCGGAGAGTAACTGTTTTATACTCGACACCGTTGAACTTCACTGGTCACAGGTTCGAGTACCGCATGTCGAATCGTAGGTGTGCACTGGTAAGGAGTCCCGTTCTATGAAATATATAACTATAAATCACATACTTATTACTTAGGCATTTCAATCAGGGTATACAATTAATAGCAAAGGCTAGTAAATCGCAATTTCAATTATCAACAACATGAAATTACAAACACTGATTAATACCTTCATAGTTATTAAAATATTATCATTATTAGTGGCTTTATTCAATATTATATTTTTGGTACAATATAGCATTCTCAGCACAAAGTATTTCAACAAGTTTCCTTTTCTTAGTTCTTGACCAATCCTTGCGATAAATATTGAGTGGTCACCAGTTAAATGTTAGCAGTTCAGAAATCAACATCTGAATAATGTATATTGTTTTCGATGCATATAGCCAACAACCACGATGTCTCTGATTGAGCTCTTTTGTAACTTGTACAGCAAAATGTTGTAAATTTTTCACAAATACACCTGAATAGGTTATGAGACTAAAGGCATAATACTGTGTTAAAACAAACAAGCAAAAAGTTTACTTGTTGAATTATCCAGATTGCAGGAAAGGGTAGCTCAGATATTCAAGTAGGTCGCATTTAGATCATTGCACACCTGGACTCAATTGTATAGTGGACAATGCATTGAGGTATGAAGTGATAAGGACCAGGTTTCCGTCTGAGTGAGCAAATCAACACCTCAATATGGGTACATCTATCTGACATTTCTCAAATAAGAGAAAACACTGGTCGTGAATTACAGTGCTGACCATAATGTTTTCATTTGTCTATAGTTAAAAAAGAATGCAGTAAATGTGAAATATGAGTCAATTTAGAGTATTCACATTAAATAGATATTATCATCGTATGAAATATAAGTGAGGTATTAATTAAAATGATTTGATATTTTTGGCTGAAAGTAGTATTATAATACTTTTCTCATGTTCGTTGTGAAGAGTCTGGCTAACATATCTTCTACGTATGTTATTCAATCGACAGTCTCTATGGCTGTTATCAGTTCGTGATGAAAAATATCATTATTAGTTTGAATCAAATTTATGTCCACTTAATGTTTAGGTGAATAGGTAGTATTACAAAAGATGTACTCTAAAGTCTTTATTTCGGTGAATGTGAAAAAGAAACAAACAAACAACGCAACAATTAAATGTTTTTTGTTGTTGATTGAAATCATGAACCGATTGATGTTAGACCACCATTGAAAACCTGGAATTACTGGATGACCGTTTCGTCCTATTGTGGGACTCCTCAGCAGTGCACACCTACGATTCCGCTCGAGGGATTCGAACCTAGGGCCTTCAGTCTCGCGCACAAACGTTTATCCTCTAGACCACTGAGCCGGTCGGCATCCAACGGTGTTAATGTCTAACCTCAATGAACCCACAAAATCGCGCGAACATCTTTCATTGTACTGAGGTAGATACCTGTCTTTACCCGACACCGATACCCTCAGTAGTTCTTTTGATTCAGATCTCAACTATTAGAAAGTTCAAGGAAGACAAGTTTAGTTTATGGTTACGAGGAATAGATAGACTTTGTGAGAGGATATTGTTCTTTATAAATGAAGTTTCTATTAAGTGGTTATTAAGTATATTTTAATAATAATGACGTATTTTCATATTGAGCAGATATAGAAACTGACTACAATAAGGAAAATTATACTGAAATAATTAACAAATTTGTTAAAATGAAATCGATTATTAGAATGAACGGATTATCACGTAGAATTAATTAATAATATTACCCTTGACTACCAGAATAGTGACCCATTGAATTTATTTATGATACACTAAACTTATTGTTATTGAAATGAATTCATACGAGCAAACGATTTGTATAGAGAAATGGATCTTTATATTGGTGTTCTGTAGAAGCTATTTAACCCAAATTAATCTGAGTTGAAGTATTACTGAAGAACAGGGATAATTAAATAGCAAGAACTTTACCATTATAACCATTTGGTAGGTGTTCATTTCCAAATTCAATCCATTTGAGATACTGAGTGATGATTGTTTCACTCTAGATGTACATGTACTCCACTAACAAAGAACGTCAATCAAAAATATTCATCAATAAGAATCAAAAGTTCTTTGTAGTTATATAAACACAACAAACTAATCATCATTTGGATGTTGCTTACTTTATCTAAATATACATATTCACGTCCTTGACCTTGTAATAGTGCTTGAACAACAAATGAGAAAAATACTATAGATAATATCGGTTATTATTATTGTTCATAGAATACCAGTAAAGAATATGCTGATTATAAGAGAAGTTTAAAGTAAGCAAATATATATTCAGTATCTAATCACACCAAAAACTATTATAAAACGCTCATCAATAAAAGTTAGATCAATATTGTCGTAAAAATGAGTTGTACAGATAAAGTTGCCTGTTGATGACATTAAATCAGTGAGTGTTTGATGTATACCAGTAATATTGGGCCACAATACAGAAGTTTTAGTTAATAATCGTTGAGATGGTGGAGAAGATTTGTAGCTCAGCTGGATGATTTTGATAGAGTTTAGTTCTCTGAACTGAATTGTTTGGTTATGGAGCTTTCATCGTTCTTCTGAACGACATCATCGGCACAAACTTCAAGTAGAATTGAAATGTTCGAATTTCTCCACATGTGGTTCACAGCTTGTTCTGAAGATTTTCGGTCAACAAGAACCAATCAACATCGAGATCTACATGACAAGCTGTGAACTAAATGTGGAGAAATTCGAACACTTCACTTCTACCTGCAGCTTGTGTTGATGATGTCGTTCAGAAGAACGACGAAAGCTCCACGACCAAACGACCCAACTAAGAGAATAAAAATCTATCAAGTTAACAATCGTTCTCTAGCTTTATTATTTCGAAACGATTAAGTGTAGTCTATATTTTGATTGACACATTGGAGAACATATGATAATTTTACCGTGATAGTGAATTCTTCCCCAGCAGTGGTAACTTCGACAATGCCGACATTAAGGTAACAATACAAACAAATTAGCATTGTTCTTTCCGATAGTCACTATAGAGAATCATAGGAAAACTACAACTAGTCTTGGATTCACTGTTTGGATCTCATTTGTAATCATGTGCTTTCTCAATGAGAAGACAAATCAGAACAGTATAAAGAGGAATAATTACTTAAAAATTTATTAAAACATTAAAATGAGTCCTTGTAACCATAACTCCGGTGGTTGGTTTGCACACTAAACATTTTGCTTATAGATAACTGGAAAACAAAATGTACGGTTATTTTGGTTTATCAAAGCCATCATTGTTTTCTAGAGCATAAATCAGACAATGTAATGATTTGAACCAATACGTTTGGTATTGGCAATTAACAAACATAGTAAGAGATCGACAGTCATTAACATAAATAGGGATCCACTGACGTATTCAAAGTTTTGTACAACACTTTTTACAAAGCATAAAGGAATAATAATTAAAATTTATCAACCAAACATATACATGCAATAATTATTTTTTTTTGGCCTCCCATTGACCTTCACTTATTACCGGGTCATATTTTGTCCTTTTCACATCAGGTAAATAAATACGAAGTTTTGATGAGAGCAAGAACAAAGATGCTAAAGGGAACGATGTGTATAAAATATATTGTCTTTATGTGTACTTTTTTATTTTCATTACTCATGTTATAGTTGGTATTTTAATTTAACAACCCTTTATTGATGATTCATTCATCATGTAAACCAAAAAATTCCATATTTAGCTTACACAAATATCAGTCTGAATAGACCATAAGTGTCTATCTATATTTAAGATTGTTTATTATCATCATTATACGCTAATGTATGAATATGTATTGTATTTCTATGGGTTCTAACAGTTGAAATGTAAATGAGAAATTGTTAAAAATGCTTATTTAGTTCAAGTTTCCTACTAGAGTTGTGATGATTCATTACGATTGGATCTGGGAACAAAGATGTGTCAAAGTAAGGTTCCTATAAATTAAGAATGTAAGCAATAGTGGTTAATGTAATAAACCAAGGATAATTTATATAAGGAGTTTCTGTGAAGACTGACCTAAGTCAATAACATTAACATACAGAACAAGCTGTTGATAATCTATCAAACGTTGAGATAAACATTATCATAGGGCTAACGGTAATGTTACAGTTACTGCTTCGGTTTGAGCACGATGTAATAATAGAAATCTATGAGGTTTAGAAAGAAAGGACATATTGGTCGAACTCTTTGGATTATCACTAAAATTGAAGCAGTCAAGCTGCTATGGTTACTTAAGCAGATGAAGGCTATCCAATGACTTTTTGAAATGCAGAGGCTAAGTTTAAGTCCTATTAGGAAAAGTCTATTTCCTGGTCTTGTCTTCAATCTGAAGTTATATGGCTGCTTAGATTAATAATTCGTTCTCATGGACTGTTTTTGCTCGTTCATATAGTATCATTGAATTTTATTTATCGATAAGCATTCTGTTTCATCCTAATGATCGGAAATTCACTCACCAAATTCAACCCACTGACAGTGGTGTCGGAGCTAATTTACAGGTTTTAGTTCAAATGGTATCTGATTTAAAATATAATAAATTCTCTTCTGATCCGTGCTACAATAAATTTTCATAGATGTTTGGACATCTCCACACAAAATACTAGCCCAGATTTATTCGATAAACTAACAATAAGGACTGCTTTCGAATTTTTCAAAAGCAAGGATTTGTAGAATTGTTTGCAAGAGAAGTTCTAAAGGTACTATATGCATAATGAAAGATATGTACAAAAGCAAATTAAGTTGAATGACGGTCTTTCACTACCTCTCTACATTACCAGGAACTAGCAGTTGTGTCAGGCTTGATTATATTCTGAAGGATCTGAATGTATGGTACTGGCAATGTAAGTACGCTAACGGAATAAATGATTTCAATCATATGTACAATTCTCATTCTTGTCAAGTTTTCAAACATGAGTAGCTGAACCATTCTACGCTTGTAGTTAGTTAAACGCTGAAATGTCACTGAAATCACAAATTGTTAATGTGAGCCACGTTGTTTGATGAAGACTACCGTGCGACAATTGGTTGGGGATGTTGTGTGACATGTCTCAGAATCAGTCACAATGGTGCAAATACATTCAATCTGTCATACCATAGATTTAGAGTCCCAGTATTTCTGAATACATACCTTTCCGCAAAGTTTTGCTTCGAACTATATTCTCAGTCTTTCTAATTATCACTGCGACCACATTACTTCAGCTACTTTTCTATTCAACTTATCAGTTTCATTTTGTCGTACTAACGCGGTAATGGCGAACTGAACAAAATGTATTTATTTAAACAAATAAACATTGATACAAGGAGGCACAAAACAGACAGCAGCCACATAAATCATTCGATTTGTGTGAGGACTGGAATAATGCCCGCACACCCAAGTCGAAGCACTTTGTTTTCTTAAGAAGCCACTCCTCGAGTCTTCGACCTAAAGGTCTGATCCACAAGGCAGTGGAACAATGTAAGCTGATGCAGTCCTATGGTAGCCAGTGACCAACAATAGGTTCATACGCCTTTTGTTCCTTCAGGATACTGGAACCCATATGCATCATTGATTTGGAATCAGGGTTTTTCAACCCCCCTCTCCCAGGTGGATCCTCCGTATCCAACAAACCGATTAAAGCGCCAGATATTCGCTTTACATCCTTTCAATTTCGTAAACAACACCTACGCAGCAAGGACTTCCATGGCAGTGGTTGTATGCACGTGAGAGCATTTCGAGAGGGAGCGTTGACTCTTCCCACTCTCGGCCGTATTAAGGTCAAATGGATATTTGAAACAGGCTTCCTCATTGATTATGAACTTTTCTTTCAAACGATTTTGTTATCGTTTGTTAATGAAATTATCAATTTCTACAATGGTTTTTCTTCAACAAACAAACAAACAGACTAGAGGACCCAAAACAAAATTCTTCTTCGAAAACTTTTATATCTACGTACAGAAAAAAAAACACTGAAAAAGCGTAAACGACATCACTTTAAAGTAAACAAGTAAAAAAAAAGAATTAATAACATTAAAGACAATAATACAGAACGTTAATTAATGGAGCAGTAATACCACTTTATATATCTATATATAATCCTCATTTAAAATTTGGTAGGATTTTAGGAAATAATAAATTACAATACATTTCAGTCTTTCTTATTTTCTTCGTCTTCTTCTTCTTCTTCTTCAATTTTTATAGACTTGAATAATGTATGCAATGTTATATCATATGGATGAATTGATTGTGTAATCGTCATTCGTCGATAACATGATGGTTTAAAGAAGGAGAAAAAGAAGATAACTGTACATTTTTGTGTTTGGATTATTTAGACCTAATTTAAATACAAAAGTCAGGATAATGAAGAGATAGAAAGGTGACTTTATAAGCAATACACACCAGGTTATAGACAAATACTGATCTATGTTAATGAATTCATTTTGCATTGTGATTTGAAAAATAATTTTTCTTTGCAGATATGGTAGGCCAATTCAAGACAATGTGTTTATCATATATATTAAGGATAGAAAGAGATTGAAGTACAAGTTCCATCAGTGTAAGAATGCATGCAAAAAATAATTGATTGATGTAGAAGCAGCAGATTAAACAGTGGGATTTCTTTTTTTTTTACCTGTATCCATTTTCATGACTATGAGATTGTTTATAATGTTTATGATGTGAATGGAAGCGGTGATTTTTGGAATCAGGTGACTCTTGCCGATATTTTTTATGATGATGACGGCGACGATGCTTGTCATGATTATGATGATGAGAAGAAGGACGAGGCAGACTACTGCTACGATCGAGCTCCCGATTACGATGATTATGATGATGATGGTTATCGTCGGAACCATTCAATGAATTATGATGGGAAGAACTGTGTTTAGACGAATGACGACTTTTATGCTTTTTCTTATGACGTTTATGTTCATCTGATGAAGATTTATAAGTATGATGCTTTTTGGATTTTTCATTATGATTGCCGGGAACCCAAACAATGCCAGAGTCAGAGCCACTGTATGTTGTTCGACTTCGCTTGCGAGGAGGTGGTGAACCATTTTTATCACTGTCCGATTCCTTAAAAACGAAAGAAATGAAAATTGTTAGTGACGAATAGTAAATAAATGGTGAAATCGAGGAAAACAATCAGTTACAAACAAGATTACAGGAACAAACAAGTATAACTGTTGTGGAATAACTGAAAATTTCACCACCGAATAGTATTAGCAATGATGATGCTGTCGAGAAAGACAATAAAAGCTATCTAAAACAATTAGTCCCTTTGATAAATTTCGATAATGCAATGAGAAGACGTAGTTTATCAGAATTATGTGATGGGTGGGTGAACATATACCAAAATGGTTGCAGAATCAGATGAATTCCAATGGTGAAATAAGATCACAGGATAGACAGACATCATCATCCATTGCGAAACATTTGATTGAGACGGGTCATAAGGTTGATATCAAATAAGCATTTGTTGTATTGTATAAAAGGACGTATACTAAGGTTTATTGAAGCCTTGGCTATACGGAAATTGAAACTCCCTTTATGTGTTCAAAAACGCTTTGTGCTTACACTTAACCTACCCTGGTAGTACTGATTTACTATCCAGAGTGGTAATCACATTTGTTTTTGTGTACTTTAATATTTTTCCTTTGTTATGACTTACCCTTAACCTGTTTAGTTGACCTTTTGATTTTTCATATATAAATGTTCTTAACAAGTATATGTGTGATCAGATTGTTCGAAATGTATAACGCAAATATATCACATAATTCTGATAAACTATGTCTTCTCATTGCATTATCGAAATAAAAGCTATGCAATTAAAATATTTCTTAGATAATGCTAAATGGTTATGGACTAGGCTATTATCCGGGATGGCAATTTCATTGAACAAGGACACATTGGAAAGAACTACTGAAAACTACAAAACCACAAAACCCATTCTGATAATATTACATGAGAGTTAATAACTATTTATCACTTTTTCGAACTGTAATTGACCAGTCTCTTAATGGCATATTTGCATCCTGTGCGGACCGCATCGATATGGACTTAATTCACAAGCATTATAAACAAAGATGGATGGTGATTAGAAGTGGAATCCTATTTGGGACTCGTCAGCTGGATGTATCTGCATCCCAGAGTTGATGATGCAGGTATCCTGGTTTCCACTGCTAGGCATCACCTATCTTTGCTTACTGAATAGTTAAGAATGGATAACTAATTAATTTTATAACAAATATCTAAACTAACTTCCTACAAAATTTCACTATTCACTGATTACCCCGAAGACTTAATTAAAATGCATGCATAACTATTGTACGTAATGATGAATTTACTGATATTTAGTTAAGTCAATAACTACCATATGTTACTTAGCAAAGCTGCATTTACTTATTCGACTCATATGGTAGTATATCGGTTATCTTAAGTAATGAACTAGTAAAAATGCAATATTCTTTTCATAATAATGATAACAACGCTAATGCAATATAGGGTGGTGACGTGTACTTCCCGTAAACTCTGAGTAGTCAGTTGTACAGTGATAACACCAAAATGCAAAGCATCAAAAGCCTATAGATAAAGTTTTGGATACGAAAGTATACATTAGACGAAGTGGATTTATGGTAGCATGAATATAGAATATTTCATTCAGAATGAATTTTGTAGAACTCCTGGGCACAACTGCCCTCCAGAAGAGTTTACTGTTAAATTACAGTCATTGAATGTAGAACCTTATTACGAGCATCTTTAAAAACAATAATTCTAGGTGGTCAACTGGTTCTAAGCGAGAAAAGTTTATGAAGATGATAGTTTTAAGGAAAGTAGTGTTGTTAGCTAGTTATAAAATATTTAATAAACGCTCAATGAAATAAAAATAAGAAGTGTTATGATCCGTTTTCAGTTACATAATTCAGAATATCAATGTAATGATGGATGTAACATAGAAACATTCTTCAGTTGAACTTGCCCTATACCAGTAATGATCAATCTTGACACAACTCTCAACTATCAAGAAGAAAAGAGTAAACAATAGATTTACTTTAACTCCAACTGAAAGTGCTACAAAATGAAAAGTGTGAGTATTTAAAGTTTTTTAACGTCTTTGAGAACCAACCAGGGAGAGGGTTTTGAAGTCCCCAACTTTAACTGTACGAGGGCTATTTAAAATTCAAATAGATTATTAAATACCTATTTCTTTGGTCGATCTAGATTCAACTTTAAGGAAATACTGGATTTTCAAATAGGAAGAAATCACAAGCATTAGTGTACCAGTTTAATGGGCAGTTAGTCAGCTACAATGTAGGACCAGGCACATATATGTATCGGTCCAGGTTTCCATACCTCATTAGCACAGCAAGATGAACTCCGGATTCATAGGAGTGGTTAGGTTAAAGGTGGTAATATATAGGAGAAAGATTGCATATAAGGATACAGTACCGGAATATAGAATTAGTTCGTAGAAAGAAAGATATGAAGCGATTTTAATCTCTTAGTTTAAGGGAAGACAGGGAGTGTATGCACCGACGCCATTGTGATCGATTCTGAGCCATATCACCAAGAGTTTCCAACCATCGGTTACGAAAGTCACGCGGACCCTAACCAAGTAGTCTGCATCTACCAACATGGCTCAGACTAGAGGTTAGCGTCTTCAAGCACTGATGCCATGTTTTGGTTTGGCCGCCCCTAATTCTCTTCCAACCATCTCCAACACGGCGTGGTAATCGGTGTTCAGGCAGGTTTATTAAAAGTGCACAAACTTAAGAAATTCGACAAAACAAAATAAGGATAATGCATACATACATTTTCGAATAATTGCTACATAATTCTAATAAGTTGGATAATTAGGGTTGCACGAAATCGATTATTGTTTTGTATATCAGTTGATAGGATGTTTCTAGACTAACAGCATGATAATCACTTCTTAGAATTATGGTACGACTTTCTAATTGGGTTAGTCATTCTCCATTTTATTGACTGATACTTATTCAATTTAGATTAAGCTAAAACACTCAATCAGACTATTAAGAAAATTGTAATTTAAAAAAAAAGAGAACAATTAAAACACATAAATATGATACAAGTAGTCAACATTTACCTCATAAGAATAGTCCACTAAAGGATTTGTCAATTCATGTTGTTTATCTTTTAAGCCTGCAGTATTAACTGAAGGTAATTGAGATGAGGTGGTTTGTACCTTTGCAGTACTGATTGTGGTTAGATTATCTGAATTATTACAAAGAGTAACTGATGATTGTTCACTAGTCGGATTTTTAATACAATAAGATAATGTTGTTATTGTTGAAGATGATGATGAAGTCGACGATAATGATAAAACAGAGTCGTTTATTGGTGTTGGACGTTCAGTCCATAAATTTGATGATGTTTCTTTTCCATAGAGCAACTTAAAGAACAAAAAATAAAAAGAAGAAAAATGAATATTAAGAATATACGAATTGTAAAAAATACATTCATCTTGATAAAATCGTACCGAGGGGATCCACGTGAGTAGTATACATACATTTTTAACGTTAATTACAAACTCTGTTCATACAAATTTGAAACAGTAAAGGTTTACATTTGTCAAATATTGAGTTTATAACTAAACATCATCACTGTGCACATTCATTTTGGCGGGCTTTTGTATTCGACATAAGAACATAGAGATCATTCAACTAGATTGGATTTAGTTTAGATCATGAATCGAACAGTGTTAGACCACCATTGAAAAGCTGGAAGCACTGGACAGCCTTGGGTGACTGCCTCACACCCAAAACGGTTGAACTCCACTGGTCACAGCTCCATGCTGGAACTCCGAGAATTACCCCTCCAAGTTGGTCATCAGTGAGCACATGATAATGATCGGTATAGGGTTGTGGAGATTGTTGAATTCTTACTGAGATCATGAACCGATCGATGTTAGACCACCATTTAAAATCTGGAAGCATTGGATGGCCGTTTCGTCCTAGTATGGGACTTAACAGCAGTGGGTATCAGATTTGAGTGAGTTGAACAAACATGAATATCTTAAGTAGTTACATATAGTTGTCAGGAAGATATGGGTATAGATCTTACGCTCATTGACACTCAGCAAGGTGCACCTACAATCTTGAGGAAACTGATGCTGCTTGGTAGATTTAATGCCGTGTCACTTAGCTTCCCCATCAGAGACGTTGCCAGGGTTCTAGTTGAGCTGAGAGTGGCCTGCTGTATGACTGAGATGTACATACAACTGACTTATCACCGAGTAGTGACCAATGCCACTAGGTAACAAAGACAGTATACGTCTCGAGAAGTGGAATCATCGAGAAAGTGTACAATCCAGTAGTGACGCTATCACAAAAATATGGCATAAAGCAAAGGAGTTGGATAGGAGTAACCAGATTTTTTTGTTCAACATGCAATACTTTATAGATAACAGATTTTGATAGTTGATTTACGTGGGTGTACTTGAATAACCGAGTAAAGATATTTCGTATTTGGCATTAAGCTATTTATTTATTTAAACACATAAACATTGATACAAGAAAGCACAAAACAGATAGCAGTCACATAAATCATTCGATTTGTGTGAGGAATGGGATAATGCCCACACACCCAAACTGAAGCACGTGGTTTTCTTAGGGGGGCACTCCTCAAGCCTTCGACCTAAAGGTCTGATCCATAAGGCAGTGGGGCAACGTAAGGAAATGCAGCCCCATGGTACCCAGCGACCAACAATAGGTTCATACACCTTTTGTTCCCTCAGGATACTGGAACCCATGTGCACTATTGATTTAGAATCAAAGTTTTCCAACTCCCCCCTCCCAAGTGGATATTCCGTATCCACCAACCTGGTTGAGGAGCCGGACATTAGCTTTACATCCTCTCAATTTCGTAAACAACACCTAAGCGGCAAGGACTTCCATGGAAGTGGTTGTATGCACGTGACCATATGAAAGCGTTTCGAGAGGGAGAGCTGAATCTCCCCACTGGTGCATTACTTACGCCTGTTACTCCTAATGGAACATAGGCCGCCGACCAGAATTCTCCAACCCCCTCTGTACTGAGCTTTCTTTTCTAGTTCCATCCAATTCTTGTCCATTTTTCTTATGTCTGTCTCCATTTCCTGGCGTAAAGTGTTCTTTGGTCTTCCTCTCCTCATTTGGCCTTGAGGATTCCATGTGCGGGCTTGTCTTGTGACGCAGTTGGGTGCTTTTCTCAATGTGTGTCCTATCCACTTTCAGCGCTTCTTCCTTATTTCCTCCTCCACCACAATCTTGTTTGTTCTCTCCCATAGTAGGTCGTTGCTAACAGTGTCCGGCCAACGGATCCGAAGTATTTTGCGTAGACAACTGTTAATAAACACCTGTATTTTCTGGATGATGGCTTTCGCCCCATACAGTAGGACTGTTTTGACATTTATATTAAAAATCCTGACCTTGGTGTTGGTTGACAGTTGCTTTGAGTTCCAGACATTAGTGCATTAGAGGGCAAAAATTTAAAAGCAGTTACCCATGCAAGTACTGACCGGGCTCAATGATGCTTAACTGTGGTGGACGGACAAGGACCGGCGTTTTCAACGTGATATGGTAACCGGCATTAAGTCACACTTTCCTTCATGTCTACGGCGTGTATTACCAAAATGCTGATCGAAATAAGACAGACGGAATTGTTTGAATATGCAATCGATTGATTGAAAGCTGAATATAATTTGATTGTGATGTAATGATGATTTATTTGTACATTACTATGTGCCTAACTGAAATTATAAAATACAATATCGTTAAGTGTGCTCTATGACTTGAAGGCTGGTTTACTCATGACTACCAGAGTACAAATTGAACAATCCTGGGATTTACTAATTAGCATATCAATTCGACTTCTTTTATCACCCCATAGTATCCCATTTATCAAGCTAGAATTACGACAATTGAGACTTTCTTAAGTTGATTTAGGTTTTGTCGGAATAGATTTGAAAGTTATAACGAGTTTAAGATAATGTACTAAGTGGAAGTAAGCTAGTCATTAGCAAAGAGAAACCTGGTACACATGTGGGGACCGGTTTAAGTTGCTACGTCACAGCACGAAAAATAGTAAGTAACAGTAATATCAGAAAAAAATTAGTCATAGACAATATGATTAGAGCAGAACAGATGCGTGGAATGAGAAGAAAAAAAGATAATTTGGAAATCAAAATCGAAGGGAAGACAGAGTAAGTGCATTTACATCATTAAGACCAATTGTAAACTATGTCACCCATCTACAACCACCGATAACGGTTATTTTTAACCTATAGACATCCACTTAAAAAAGGTTGTTACATTACTACTAACCACGAAAAATCAATACAAAACAACTAAAGATAGAATCTAACCTCCTGGACAGTGGCCGCTGATAAAGAGATGGTTGTTTTCGTACCACTAGTACTACTGCTGGCTGAAGGTACTGTTGATATAATATTTGAATGATGATTCTTACCACACTCTACGATATCTTGAATATTTTTACTCTTCGAAGTAATTGACAGTGAATTAATGGGATCATTTGATATCGATGTAGAAGGAACAATTGGTGAGGCTGAAAAACATACAAACAAAAGAAAGCAATGATCAAATAAATAAAGCCTGAAACATGAAACTATACAATACAGTCACAAGTGTAATTTTCTATCACTATAATGTAAAAGCAATAATATGATACACTACCCATTATACACATATGTCCGCTTGGGACGCTAAAACAGATAGACAATGTTCGGGTAAGATAATCATTAGGAAGCGAATATAAGTCAGTTAGTCCTATTTAGACAGTGTGTAATTTTCATTAATCTCATCGAAAAGAGATAGATTATAATCAGTAACTATTATCCATTCATAATTGTTAATATAACACCTGAAACAAAAGGATTTTAATCCTTAACATATCATCTTACTCAAGTAATATTATATGATTTTACTTAAGTTTTATCAAACATTTCGATAGACTGATGTATAAAATCCCAAGAAGAAGAGTATTGAATTATATACAGATAATAATTTCATATTTGTAGGCCAAATATATAGAGGAACCATCAAATAAGTTGACAAAATAGTAAAAGAATAATTCACATTCAAGTTAATCAAATAAATAGGATCAAGAAACAGATTGTACCACACATAAGGAAATAATACATTAATTTAACATGTTCGGAATACCGAAAGCGTTTTGTTTTCCAATGCATAATAGTCATTCTGAATATCACAGTGAAGAATGTGACAAATAAAAGAGCCCTTGGAAGTCTATATCAGTAGCATTGAGGAGAAATTAGCTTTCCTACCGAAGAAAATTTTCCGTTTCCTATAGGTGAAGTACTAAATAATAATTGTGCTTTACTTTATAAATAGTGAAGCTTATGCGACTTATTTCTAATATAATACAATCAATAATTACGAAACAATGTATTTACAGATAATAATAAAAATCAAAGAATCTTTACATATTTTAAGTAAACTGATCACATGTTACGCAACTTTAGTTATGATGATGAATTCCACTTGATGATGTACAGAGATTTAAGTCATAACACGTACTTTTTTCATGTTACCACCATATAAGCATACAAATATACATGTACCTGTTAAAGCAGTTACAATGGTAAGAAAGAAAGAAGGATCTACGTTCGACTTCAAGATCATATCCTCAAGTCTCAGGTTGATAGAAGTAAAGGCTTTCAGCAGTAGTATTGTAAAACATCTATGTGATAGGGCACCAAGCTGGTATACTGAAATCTTTCTGAATCATTAATAAGCAGTCGAATTTCATTCTTCCTTAATTCGCCGAAGCTGTAGCCATTAAACATTTCAAGCTCAACTTAAGTATCCAAAAAGAAACAGTTGCAAAACTTTCGTCATTATGGTGATTTGACTGTCAGTTAATTACATTATTCTTGTGATTTCTTCCCATTTATTTCGGCTGCATCAGTTCTTTTGAATTCATAATTTTATTTCTAACTGAATCATTTTAAACTTAGGCTGATCTTAACTGTTATTAATTTACGTCCAGCCACTTCATTACATAATCAATGAATAGTTCCAACCCTGTAACTATGTCTGGTGATCCAGAATCTTCTTTCAGATATTGTATTTATTTACAACATTCTTTATGTGTTCAATCTCATTACTTCCTGAGTGCTGTTGGAGGTATGAGGGCGGTTATCACTTCCCGGTTGCCCACACCGTGGAAGGGTTCTTCTGGAGGTACCTGAAAAGGAAATCGGATTAGAAGTGGTCTTAGTGACCAGGGAGCGTGACCGCAGTGCCCAAGGGACAACTGCTTGAGGTCGGTCACACACGACCTTTTTATGGGCAATTTTTGTGTTAGCTCCGTATTATTGAGACCTTACCGCCGGAGACGGATATCCGTGGGATAAAGCGAGGTGTGCATTTTTAGGGTCGACCTTTTCTAACCCCACCCCTCCTTGTGGGAAGGCAGCATCGCTGTCATGCTGGTTGTCTGAAGAAACACCTTACTGCTGCCACATCTCTGTACAGTCAGCAGTACGACTTCGCCTTCGGACCTTGAGTTGCTGCTTTTAGTCTTACCGTTCACCAACCGACCTTTCTGACGTGGTAGAACCTTGAGGAACGGTTGTTCCAATCAGTATAGCTCGGTTGCTTCATCACGATAGGCAAGCCCGACCACCACGTCAAGGTAGCAACAACGGTCGGGAACAATCGCTTCATATCTTTCTTTCTATGAACTAATTCTATATTCCGGTACTGCATCCTTATATGCAATCTTTCTCCTATATATTACCACCTTTAACCTAACCACTTCTATGAATCCGGTGTTCATCTTGCTGTGCTAATGAGGTATGGAAACCTGGACCGATGCATATATGTGCCTGGTCCTATGTTGTAGCTGACTGACTGACTGAATCTCATTACTTCACCATAATGATACGTATAGATTTTTACTTTTACAAGTACATCGACTTGTAAGACTATTTTGATTTTAAAATATTATACAGATTGTAGGCAACTGATGAGGACCTAACGAAATAAACTGAATTCATGCTATTCTGCTTAATTCTTTGTTCTTGCTCTGTTCAAGATAATAAGAGGAACCAAGTGTAAGATAATAATTAAATGTAGGGAAAATATTCGCTAAAATTTAAACAAATGATGCGTTGTGAATCAAAACTTCCGAAAACTATCTACTACTGTCTAGCATTCCGAGACCATGCATGATAGCTTACTCAACTCTTCCTAGATCAGAACAGAAACTGAAAGTCAGCATATATATATATATATATATATATATATATATATATATAATATAATATAATAAAATCGAATAACAAGTAGATACATTAGTAAAAGCATTAGAATCATTTAGTATCTCGACTAGTCTAACAACGGCAATTGGTTGACAGAAAGATCAAACAGTGTATTTTGATTTCACACTGATCTAAGCATGCAATAGTCAGGAATCTACTTTGCTATTAATTACTTTACTAAATCTCCGACCATTGTAGTAGGAAAAAAACTGGGTGGTAAGACAAGTAAGGAAGATCTTCGGTTTCAATAAATGTTGTGCTAAAATATGCTCCATAAATCCCGACCATTGCTGATACTTCGACGTGGTGGTCGGGCTTGTCTATCGTGATGAACCAATCGAGATATATTAGCTGGAACAACGGTTCCTCGAGGTCCTACCATGCCAGACAGGTCGGTTGAAGAGCGGTAAGAATAAAAGCAGTAAGCCCAAGGTACGAGGGCGAAGTCGTACTGCTGATTTTACAGAGGTGTGACTGCAGTAAGGTGTTAACTTTAGACAACCAGCATAACAGCGATGCTGCCTTACTACAAGGAAGAGTGGGGTTGGAAAAGGTCGACCCTAAAAATGCACATCTCGCCTTATACCACGGAAATCCGTGAGATACGGAGCTAATACGGAAACTGCTCACGAAAAGATCGTGTGTGACCAGTCTCAAGCAGTTGTCCCATGGGCACTGCGGTCATGCTCTCAGGTCACTAAGACCACCCCTACCCGATTTCCTTTTCAGGTACCTCGAGAAGAACCCTTCTAAGGTGTGGATAACCGGAAATTGACAAACGCCCTGATACCTTTAACAGCATTCAAAACTACTGACTGACCTTACTAAATTTAAAGTAGTCACCTAAGTATATCACGCTAAAAGTCAAACTGTTATGTACATGTTAGTCGATTTAAATCTGAAAATATCAAAAGTAATGAATTAGAACTTTTTTTAAGAAAACGTGTCTGGTAATGTTCAATAACTGAACATATAACAAATCTATGGTGGTATAAAAATTAACACACACTATTTATTATCCGAACAGGCCAAAAGAAATTGAAAAAAAGTAATTTTCAGAGAGAAATCATGTACAGAAAACTTATAAAGTAGAGAACTTACGTAGGATGTTTATTTTATTTAATGAAAGTTTAGGATTAAAAACAATTTTCGGTACGGATGATACCGTGTTTGTGGTAGGATTACTGCAACACAATGAATTAATTGTTGGTGTCTTAGTAAATGAAGTACTTTGAGAAATAACAGATGATGTGGTGACAGGTAGTAAATTTGTTTGTTTTATTATGTTAAAAGTTTTATGATGATTAGGCTGTGTAGACGATGATGATGATGGTAAATAAGGTTTTGTAATAGACTGTTGTTGTTTGACTGTATCATTAACAGGAGGTAACTGGGAGTTATTTAACTTCGGAGTATTAGCGTCGAGTGAAGATTCCTTAGAGGTTACTGTACGATTAACTGTACCGTTAGTTGAATTACGAACCTACAAACAAACAAAAAACACAGTGACCGTTTACAGTAATATTTATCGCTTACAGATTAAAGTGAAAATAACCTGACATCTATATTATATGACTGAAGTTTAAAGTGGAACGGATTAAGACAGAGTCAGTCAAATATAATGGAGAATTCGACACATACATATATCGATCTGAGTCGCCAGACTATATTACCACAATCAGATGAAATTATTAAAACATACGTCAAAGTAGCGGGAGAGGTAACAGTAACAGTGGTAGTAGAAAAATCTAGGCATATACAATAAGTTTCGAAAAGAACAAATGAATTCATGGAGTGAAGAAAAAGTATAAAGTGATTACGAAACTCAAAATGCAAGGGATAAAAAAGAGTGAATACATCCGTGTCATTGTGTCCGATTTTCAGCGATGTCACCTAAAGTCCTCCTGTCAGGGGTTACAATAATCACGTGATCATTCAGTCAGATAGTGTGAACCTACCAACATGGATTGGATCAACAGTAAATTACTTCTTGAAGTGATCTGGCAGGCAGCGATTAGAGATACGTGTTATGATAGATTTAGGATAATAAAACATAGTCACAGAAGACAATCGGAACAATCATATGATAAATCATTTTCAATAAAGTAACCTGATTCACCGTAGTTACAGTAGGGTGATACGACTATGTTGAGATGAACATAATACACAAAGAAAAGTACATCTAATATGAGCATTAAAAAGAACTTCGATAAAAATTCTTGAATTTTTAGAATGAAATGTGTATCGGGAGGTGTGAACAAACAATACAGCTTGATATTGTTGTAAGAAATATAGTTTTATATAATTGTTGATCTGAGATTGTAGAAGCTATTATGTTTCTTTAGCGATTAAGACTACATGTTTGAACATCATCTCGGTTATTTGGTGATGTCTTTTGAACTGAGTAGCTTCATTGAGATCTTTTCAATGTTATTGAAAAAGTAAAGCCATTTACGTTAATTTTAGGAGAGAAGTGAACATTTTAGAGTTATTTTACACTTCTACTTGAGGTTTGTGCTGATGATATTGTTCAAAAGAAAAATGAAAGCTTCACGACTAAATCATGCAACTCAGAGAATGAATTTCTATTAAAATTACTTTAGAAATGTTGCTACACCTTCCCCCATATTCCATTTCTGTAATTTGATTGATTTTTTCTCAGCAATTATTATTTCCCCGTTGTTTACTTTATTGTGATACTTCAGTTTTGACATAATGTATAAACTAAAGCCTGATACACAAACCTATATTTAGATAAGCTATACAGAATTAATGAAATAGTCTATAAGAAATTGGAATGAATTATAACATTAAAATTTCAGTTTGCAATTTCACGTAACCAATACATGAAAGTAAGAAATGCAGTTTAAGAACAAATAATACAGTTGATGAGAACAAAGTCAGTAACCAAGCGAAAGCTAATGGAAAAAAATAGAATGATGTAAGAGTAGTTAATATCATAACTTTTAATTATCTAGAATTAAGCAGTAGGAGTTAAGTTCGATGAATGAATGAGCTTACACCGATGAGTCAACATTTACATGGGTAACGAAAGAAGAATGAGAAGTGTAAGTATCATAACTTACCGCTTCATAGAACAGTAGGTAGGGTGACTGACGTAAAACATGGTCAGGATTTGTTGTTGAAACCTACAGATCGTAAAATAAGACAACACATAACTGAAGTACCACTACAAATAACAAATTAAAATAAACACTAATAACACGATGTAACATTAACAATTAGAATGAGACCCTTGCTAATTGGATACTGATATTTGAACCAATTGTGGTAATCGCCCCCAAATGCCCTGGTACGGCCGAGAGTGGGGAGAGTCCGCTCTCCCTCTCGAAATGCTCTCACATGGCCACGCGTATATAGCCTCTGCCATGGAAGTCCTACTCACTGCCTTCTCGTGGCGGGGGTGTAGTTTACAAAAATGAGAGGACGAAAAGCGAATGTCCGGCGCTTTAACCGGATTCCAAACCAATGGTGCACATGGGTTCCAGTATCCTGCGGGAACAAATGGCGTATGAACCAATTGTTGGTCACCGGCTTCCATGGGACTGCATCTCCTTACGATGCTCCACTGCCTTGTGGATCAGACTTTCAGGTCGAAGGCTCGGGGTGTGGCCCCCTAAGAAAACCACCTGCTTCGGTTTGGACACCCGGGCAGTATCACAGCCCTCACACACACATCGAATGAGATTTGTGTGGCGCATATGTATTTGGTACCTCTTTGTACCATTATCTATGTGTTGAAATAAATAAATAAATAAATTGTGGTAATCGAACAGTGTAAAACTTAGTGGACTAATATAGTCAGCACTATTACCAGGTAGTTTTTTATACAATAAACCAGGTTATATGTGAAGACTGAAATGTCAAAAGTGATTTAAACGAACAGTCAATAAATTCAATGATGTTGACCAACCACATTTTTAGCCATCTCCATCTATCTTTGCTTGTTGAGTGTAATGGATCAAATAGTATTGGTAGTACAGTATAATTGGACCTGCATTATTTATATTATTTGTTTGAACACATAAATATCGGTACAAAGGGGCACCAAATATATATGCGCCATAGGAGTTGAGAAACCTGATTCCAAACCAATGGTTCACATGGGTTCCAGTATCCTGAGGGAAAAATGATGTATGAACCAATTGTTGGTCACCGGCTACCATGGGACTGCATCTCCTCACGATGCTCCACTGCCAGACCTCGGGGTTTGGTCACTTAAGAAAACCAACTAATTGGGTTTGGACACCCGTGCAGGATCACGGCAGTCACATAAATTTGATAAGATGACAATTAATTTGGATTTATATACACCATAAACTATCTTGCAGTTTATGCATGTCATGTTAACCAACCGTTTCAACTAACATCTATTTCTATGATGTACTAACGTATTAACTCCGCCTGTAGCTCTTATAGGGTTACTGACGGTCCCAAGCCCGGGTAAAGGAGGGTTGGGCATGGGGTTAGCGTCCCCATCCCGTAGAAAACTAACTCGCTAAAAAAACGCTTACCAGAAAAAATAATCCAAACCATTTAAACTCTGCCCTGGGAGTTAGAAGGTCTTCATTTAGAAGAATTATGACGCTTCACGGTGAAAGCCGAGTTCCTTCGGAAGCCACGAGGCCGATGCCCCTTCTAACAACCAGAGCAAAAAAATTTTATAGGTACATGGAACGTTCGAACAATGTTGGAAACCGGGAAGACCAGTCAAATAGCAATGGAAATGAGGAAATACAACTTAGCAGTACTGGGGATCAGCGAAACCCACTGGACCCAAGCTGGACAGAAAAGGCTAGCTACGGGAGAGATGCTGCTATACTCCGGTCACGAAGAGGACAATGCTCCACACACCCAGGGAATCGCTCTTATACTGTCCAAAGTAGCACGAAATGCACTTGTAGGATGGGAATCTCACGGATCCAGAATCATCAAAGCATCATTCAAAACAAAGAAGGAGGGGATCTTAATGAATATTATCCAATGTTATGCACCCACAAATGATAGCAACGACGACATTAAATTTTTAATATATTTATATTAAAGAAAGACAGTAAACATCATTAATGATATGCATATATATACATATTTGAACTTACAAAACTATCATTAAGTGATAACCATTGACCATGACGTAAAGTAAATGATACATAATGTCCACTACGACAACTATATCCTTCATGATTAACTATAGCATATAATTTATATAATATTGGTAAACCTTTTGATTGTGTCATAAATGGACGTAAATTAAATGATGAAGGAAAATCTACACGTATATCAAGTTTTTGATGACGTGAAAATCTACAAAAATAAACATTTTAGAATAAAACATTTATTTATTATATAATTGTTCATTAGTAACAATGGAAGGGGTGATAATGATAATAATAACTCAATAAACAAAGAATAGTAAAGATGAATAATTATTAACCTTTAGTATTCTTTTGGTGAACGTAAGAATTTAGACTAGAAATAGACTACTACATAAAATAGATAATTAATTTTACAGTTTCTGACATGTAAACTTTCTGAAATGATTAACAATTGAACATATCAATAACATTCAGTCAGTCAGTCAGCTACAACGTAGAATCAAGCACATATATGCATCGGTCCAAGTTGCCATACCTCATTAACACAACAAGATGGACACCGGATTCATAGGAGTGGTTAGGTAAAAGGTGGTAATATAAAGGAGAAAGATTGCAATAAGGATATAGTATATGAAGAAAGAATTAGTTCGTAGAAAGAAAGATATGAAGTGATTTTAATCTCTTAGTTTAAGGGAAGACAAAGAGTGTATACATTGACACCATTGTGATAGATTTTAAGCCATGTCACCAAGCGTCTCCAACCATTGATTAACAATTGAACATATGAATAACATTCATACCTCATTATGAATAACATTTGGTTATGATGAAGCAAAACTAAAAGTCATTCAGCTATAACATAAGACCAAGCACATATATATGCATTGGTTCAAGTTACCATATCTTATTAGCACAAGGTGAACAACAAATTCATAGAAGTATTGTTACTAAAACAGAAACAGGTAATAGACTTAGCAGAAGATGATGACACAATGTAGAGACATATTTAGACGAGACTGTGAGATGTTAAAAAAACCCAACTTAAGCTGATCTGTCAAATTCATTGTTATTTAATGAGATTTATAATTCCTTTACACTAAGTCTGATCTTTTTCTGGTTAGCGTTTTTTAGCGAGTTTATTTTTCTACGGGATGGGGACGCTAACCCCATGTCCAACCCTCCTCCTTTATCCGGGCTTGGGACCTGCAGTAGAACCCGGAGGGACTCCAGGCGGGAAATGGAAATAGACATGAGAAAAATGAACAAGAATTGGATGGAACTAGAAAAGAAGGCCCAGGACAGAGTGGGTTGGAGAATGCTGATCGGCGGCCTATGCTCCATTAGGAGTAACAGGCGTAAGTAAGTAAGTCTGATCTTAATTTAACTTTCGTATTAATTAAGGATAGCCATTATATTTTTGGTTAAACCAAGAATATAACATGAAAACAATAAACTCAGTTGAAGTAGACAAGATGTAGTGAACATTGGGTGGAAGGATGAAGAAAAGGTATAAAGGAGGAGTTATTACATAATAAAAATTATTGTAGCTTACAAACACAGGTATACTCAAGTTTTCTCACCATATATGTATATGTATACACAGGTAGAACATCATGGATGGTAGTCGATGTTACTTTTTGGAGAGCGGATAATTGAATTGTTTTTTCGATTGTGATTTGCATTTCATCTCTTCAATACAAAACTTCATCACTTCATAAGATATACATATAAATTTATACATTTATACGTATACATATTAGTATACACAAATATATTTCTTTATTAATGAATAGGATAATGAATGTATAATAATATCAGAGTATAGGTTTAATTTTTCAATGACCACAAACTTCCATTCTATGGTTTCTAAATACGTATAAAACGTAATGAAAATAAATGAGATTAGTCTTATACACAAAAATGCGATTACAAATTGAGTTTTCCATGAGACTAATGTGTATATATATCCATACATTCTAATTATGTAAGTAAATTACTTATTTGACATGGATAGTTGTATACTTATTTGGTCAAATTAAATGTAATTCTATTTAGTAAAGCTATCATTATACTATACTCACATTGTATTTGACAAGTTGAAGTATAGATCTATATCTATCATCAAGTAGAGTGAATATGTGATTCAATATTAGCAGATAAGAATATTTCAAATATACTGAACTTATGCTAGTGAGAAGTCAAAGGGAAGCAACAGTGTTCGCCGACTTGGATCTCGTCATATGAGAGGATTATAAGAGGAGGCACTAGTAATAATACAGACTCGTCTACTAAACATAGGTTTGGGTACCAAACTAGAAGCTATACCTGTTGTGCGAGGGCTAAGTATTCGAACAAGCTGATCAAAGTAGGTGGGATTGGGTTCGGACCCAAGACCTAACTAGTCCAAAGTGATCTAATCACTCTACGCCATGGCAGTCAATACAAGTGTTAACTGATGATTATTTTATTGATCACCGATTGATGACATGGTTAAATTAAGCACCAAATAGATTGGATAACAATAACAAAAAGACAGGTTGTCCAGACATTTTACAAGAAACCTACTAATATGGGGACCAATGTTTAGCTAGAGGTTGAATAGAATGAGAACGCAAAAAAAGAAGACGACTGATCATATCTGAGAAGCAAATTAAGATTTATGTGGTACATTTCGCACGAAACTTATTGGATGGAGGTTAAAGACACTAATTAGCTGTTGGAACTGAAGTAGATTAGGTTATTGATTGACGACTTAATGAATTGAACATGAGTAATGAAGCCAGTGAGATAATTTTTTCTACTAATTTTTAACATTTTATCCTCTACTATTGAATACCAATATGGATTTTATAAGAAATGGATAGGCAATTCTAGCCTCCCAGATTTATTCCAATGGAATAACTAACGAAAAGTAAGAAGTAGTAGAAAACTACATGTCGGGAGACAGTGAATTACTCGATAAGCAACAGATAAACGTCAAATCACTACATACACAATTGTAAATAAAGCTGACAATAAATACTTACAATGAAAAAAAACAGAATTCAACTACTTACCTATTTAGCTGGATAATAAGTATAGGTGGTGCTCGATAAATGGTACATTTTCTCATAGCTGGTCGAAGTTGATGACAATTTTCACATTTATATGCATTTTGACCTGATAACTCTTCACTACGAATATAATTACACAGACATTGCTGAAAAGAGATAAAAGGGGGAGAAGATTAATATGGTTTTGATTGGTAACAAGAAAGAGAAATTAATACAACACAACAGAATCAAGCATTGGGTTTTTAAAAAAAAATTTATTGCATAGCTAAGAGCATTGACAAGTTAAAGCTGAATTGTATCAAATAAACATTCATTTTAATGAGAGTCAACATTGAAATATTTAGCTTTTGAACATTTTCGCTAGTTAGGTGTTTTAAAATTAGAAGGAGATGATATAAGAATTAAAGACGAATCAATGATGTAATTAGTGAGAACGTATATTCTAAAATCAATTTATGGAAGTTAGCGAATACAACCTCATTTTCTCGGATTTAGAACATATTAAAAATCTAAAGCATAGTGATAGTACCCGATTAGATCAACTGAAGTAGATGGATAGGGGATTCAAATTCCCTTTTACACCCACACTGAGTCACCGCCACTTCCCATTCCAGTAAGTGAACAAAGAAGCCTATCTCAACAAAATACAAACCCATTATCTTACCACACAACGTATTGATTGGTTGTTTAGTGAATAGTCGATTGGGCTGATTTCGAATCGGTTACTAACTAGTTAGTTGGTAGCCAATTACTGAAAAACTTGACATTCAAACACAAGTGTTGATACTGTTTATTTCTCATGAAAACACCTTGACATAAATGAAGGCAGTGTGCACTAAGCAAAGTAGAACTAGAGACAAGTGTCTATCGACACAAACTACGAAACCTTACACGCTAACAGCAACACAACAGGTAGCGTAAAGTGACGAAATGAAATTAATAATACCAACAGTAGTGCGGATAGTTCATAAAGAACGAATGAAAACGCAAAATGGCAGTTTGTGATTTAGAGGAAGTTAAAGAACGAATGCAACTAATTCAGCTTGATCGATTTTGAATCACATAAAGTTCTACACTATGAATTATTATGTGGGCCTTATAGGGCACAGAGTGAGGTTTATAGATGCCTTTGTGGAATTACTCAAGTATATTGGGGTCACCGAGTGAGAAATACTGAGGTTAGGCACAATGTACTAGCTAAAAATGATAAGTAGATTGATGAAGTAGTGAATGTTCAGTAACTGAGGTGGTTGGAATGTATATTACATATGGCTAATTATCGCTTACTTTGATGAGCAATGTTACTCGATGCAGAGATAATATGGAATGGAATTAGGGGCTGGTTAGGAGCCCATGAAATTATTGTAACCATTGGTCAGACTTTGGGTTGTAATGGCGCGGATGCATTCACTCTTTATATTTCCTTACATTCTAGGTTTCGAAATTATCTTGTACTTTTCTTTACTCCATAAATTTATTCTTTTTTTCAAAACTTATTATCTATAGCTAATTTTCCTACTACCACTGGTACTGTGATAGCTTATACTACATTAACTAGTGTGGTACAGCAACTTGGACCCATGTATATGTGTTAGGTTTCTACGTTGCGTGTGAGCGATGCTACGGATTCAAAGTCAATGACGCCATATGAGTCTGATTGTCCCAAATATTATTATTTTGATCAATATTGCAGCAGAGGTCGGTTGGGACATGAACGACCACCGTCTAACTCGATGGGAGATGTTGTTTGGTGTAGGAGTAGGCTGAAAGAAAGACAGGGGCGGTCAAACCAGAACATGACACCACTCTATTAAGTCATTTACATTTAAACGGAGTCCTATTAATAGGTGTTAGACTGCATGATTGGAGGCCGCCTGACCATCGTAACCGGTGATCAAAGAATTTAAATGAGATAGCCCAAAACTATTTGTAATGGCAAAGGTGCATTCATTTCTTGCCTTTCCTCAAATTGTAGGTTTCTGCTTTTCACACGTCTTCTTATCTCAATTTATATTTTCTCGAATTGTGTTTGATGCCTAATTTTTTCGATCACCACCGATACTGTCACTGCCTACACTATTTAGGATTTTGTCCCAACAATTTCATCTCGCTGTGTTAAGAGGGTATGGCAACTTGGACCGATGTACATAGGTACTATGTTCTATGTTACGACTGAATGACTGAATATTGCAATATGTCGAACTACTTGGCATTATTTTATTGCAAAAAGTTAGAAAGAATATTCAAAAAAGAAAGGAAATAGATTAACCTGTAAACTTCGAGCGCAAGTGATATCCATAGACAAATTAAAGCATTGTTCATCCCGCGCTGAAACTTTGAGGCAAGAACGACATGTCACTGGAATACAACAATAAATATTGGATGTTTAATAATAATAATAATAATAATAATAATAATAATAATGGCTAGTCTTTCAAGAATATTTACAGAATGATTCGCTATTGAAATTAACACTTTAGAAAATCACAATACATTATGTATAACCACTTAGAAAATTGCAAATAATTTACTTACCTTCTGAACGTATTATACCACCAAAGATCCTCCTGATGACATTTGTTTCAGATATTTTACGAGACACTTTGCCAAAACTTGCCAATGAACTATCTTCCATTCTTGACAAAAGTCCAAGTAGAAATTCATGTGCATCTTCTTGTTGATAAGGACGAAGACTTGGACAAATAGCTGGTGAAGGTAGAGAAATGGTGAATAAAGCAACAAGCTAAGTTAAATTACAATTGAACAATGATAGAATAAGTTGTTTTATTTATTTTAACACATGGATATTGGTACAAGAAGGCACCAAATACATATGCGCCACAAAGATCTCATTTGATATGTGTGAGGGCTGTGATAATGCTCGGGTGCCCATACCGAAGCAGGTGATTTCCTCAATGTGTGTCTCTTGCAGCTTTTTCCACTGCCAGTGCTAGGTCTTCCACGAACTTCTGCTTGTCAGCTCTAGTGTTCTTCTTCACTAGCTCGTTTGCTTCTGTGTATTCAGCTTATACCTTGATTTTCTCTGTTCTTGTTAGACTGTTGTTAATTGCTGTCTTCTAGTTCCTTCTTTGTTGAATCTTATCCAAGATTGCGATACAGATCCATTCTTTATGATGATGCTTCTTACGGCCTAGAAACTCCTGACACGTGGAAGTGAAAGCTACTTTGATCCCTTTTCAGTTGACCCCATAGTAGTTTTTTCTTTCAGTAGATCATATAAAATTTGGAACCTGTTTTTGAGAGCTATCGTGAATTCGTTGAGTTTGTCAGTATGTCGAAGGAAGGCTGTATCATACAAATTAATTATATTTTATTAAGGATATTACACTATTAGATTTAATTCGTTCCGATGCTTATTGCTTACCTCGAACATTTGTTACAAAGTAAGAAGGAATTGTACGTCCATTTTGAGAGTGATGTTCATTAATAAGACGAGAAAGACCGCATAAAACACAAAACCGAGATTTGTTTAAGCTTGGAAGGCTGGACCGACCATTAGTTATGATACAGCTACTAGGGTTTGAATGTTTATGGTTAATATATGCAAGTAGAGGTCCAGTAGCCAAAATACATTGAAGCACAGAGTTAAGATAACATGTATTCCCAGAGTTACCAAATCCCAAAGCTCTTTTAGGAATACAATGAGCACCGGCTTGACATAAATGATCAAGTTCATCATCAGAACATAGGAGTTTATTTTCAGGAGAACCTAGAAGTTAAATACAAGAACAGTTGAAAAAATTATATGATACATACAATTATATTAATTTTTTTCAAAATACTAAAACTAATGACTAATTGTTTTTAAAAAATCATTCAAAATGAGGAGAGAATATTAATTTGTAAGTGATAATTTTGCTATTTCTTTCCCACCTCTAATGAAATTCCCTCTTTAAGATAGGTCGGTCGAATAAAGAAATGATAGTATAGTACCCATGTGAAAATATCGATTCTCACATAATGATAGGAAAACATTTTGTATAAGTGAATTAGTTTCATTGTATAAAAATAGAAAGGATAAACCAAAAACTGAGAGCTATCAATAGTAGTAACGTGGTGAGAGGCATATGCTCCTTTGTGAGAAGTAATATGTGTAAGCGAAAATCGATGGTAATCAAAATTTAAAGAATAAATTACACAACCTTGTTGATCATTTAGTTTTACAAGACTGGTTGCAAGGAAATCTACTTACTGCTTATGCTAAGCTACAACACATTTGAATTCCTGAAATAATGGCTTTCCTTAAAGTTGCTGATAACTCACAGGCAGCTTACTGCCACGTGCTTTTCGCATAACAGTGTATATGTATAAAGGACAAACTAATACTTAAACGTAAACTAGAAAACGCATTAATTCTAGCTGTTTTTGCTACTTCTTTCCTAGAAATCATACATGTCTACTGACATTCGGAGAACAACAACTCACAATGGCGATTAATTCTCTTGATTATAACACATCAAAGAACTGGTTAAATTGTCAAAAAAATAGTGTTGTAGAAAATGAAATGTGGCAGTACAAACTCAATTTAAAAAAGTAATTACCAGATCAATTCTGCACTTATGAACCATATGAGTAGTTGTACTACTCTAAGGAAAATTACAGATTAAGTTAAATGAGAATTACATTTTTAGGACGAATGGATGTATTTGATGAGATAACAACTTCATTAAGATGTATTTACATACAGTGAATTAAAACTCAGTACCACCGAAAAACATATTTGATAGTAGCACTCACCAAGAACATTTCTCTTATATCTTTAAATCCATTTTAGTCACATTTTTTGAATGGACGTTATGAGATGATAAGGTTTGGAATTAATGGATCCTGTTATTCATATTTAGATTAGATGAGACACCAATATTATTTTTTTTTATCTTGGAGCTAGTTTTGGTCTTCTCCCCAAAAAGTAACCACAAATATGTAATTTCAACCTTAAAAAGCCTAGTAAATGGATAATGAATGAACGGTTTAGTAGATATGAAATTTCTACTAACGATATATGCTTGTCTTTATACATGAAGGTTTGGGTATCTTGTTTCAAATGTTATAACTAAAATTAAGAAACGAATTCTAGTGGGATTTGGGGAAATTAGTAAAGTTTTATACGTCAAAAGTGGCTCTAAGGCCTTACATGTGCACGTCAAGGGCTTTCTGAATAGTAATAAAGATATCATGGGATTAATGGTCAATAAATTTATTTGCGTCTTTAACTAGATGCTGTTTTAATGGGCAGCAGTTAATAGACACACGTGATTACTGTATTCTGAATAAGTGGGTTAAATTATTGATGGGTGCTGGTATAGTTCTGATAATAAGAGTAACCCAACAGACCAGTGGAATACAAGTGCCATTATTTAACGATAAGTGAATTGCTGTACCTCGATATAATTCCTCTCAATAATACAGTTATTTAGCATGTCACAGATGGATGGACAGTACCAAACTATTAGTAGACACATGAATATTCACTTTTAGAATAAATGAAATCAGATGTAAGATTCTAACCAACTTGAATATTTAAAAAACTCAGCAGTAGGTTTTGAAACTAAATGTGTAACAGTGGACAGTTGTCAGATATTTTCATGAAAAGACATACTTTTTTTGACGGATTTACATTCTTCCGAATCTTCTAGGATCAAAGATCTGGGTAAACTTTGGATTTTCTGCTTAATTATTGAATCCAGAGGAGGGGCTGACGATTCATGGAAAGACAAAGGTCGCTGAGACAGTTTTTCTGTATAATTTGATATATGCCCATTAAGCGGGACTGTAGATGACTTTAATGATAGACGTAAAGCGTTATCTAAGTTATAGGAAACTAGTTTAGAAGCGGATATAGATGATTCTGACTTCATAAAATTAGTAGTAGGCCCATAATCATTATTTTGAGAAGACTGATGGTTGAATCCCAACACTGACCCATCAGAACCACAATCGAAGTGCTGGAAATTCTGTGTAACAGGCTTGGGCAAATGATATGAAACATTGGGGACTACAGATGCAGTAGACGACATTGGTTTACTGAGAGGTTATGAGATGAATTGAGGAGTACCAATGTTAAAGAAATGTAACTTTCATTGTAAATGATAGTCTCAAGATCACTGAGTTGCGAAATTGAGTAGATTCGAAATTGCCTGAAACTAAAAGAATAATATTGTTTACATCTTGTTTCCCAAAAAGTGAGACGCACATAATATTTAACTGCTTACGATGGACACATTGAGTAGAAAAACTAGCAGGATTCAATGTCGAACGTTTGACCACAAATATATTCCATCAACAAATAGGATACAAGCATCATTCCAAGTCGATGCAACACTTCGGTACTGTGAAATGAAGATGAATTCTAAGTCGAAAAAAACAGTAGTATCAATGGCCAGGAGAAACACTAAAAATTGAGAAGTACGGTTCTCAAACGGATGAATTTAGGCAAAAGTTTGTACTGATCGTTAGACAACAATTAAACGATAGGTAGCAAATGCATTTGTGACATTTAGACTGCTTTTGAGTCATGTTACACAGTGTTCTTAATAATCATTGGCTTTGTGAACTGAAGGTTTAGATGTCCTTAGCTTTCTCTCAACTTACTTTTATATATGCTAACGTCGAGCAAAAGGGTAGGAAGCAGTTAGGGATACATAACACATATTCCATTCACCTGCCCCCAAATGCCCTGGTACGGCCGAGAGTGGAGAGAGTCCGCTCTCCCTCTCGAAATGCTCTCACATGGTCACGCGTATATAGCCTCTGCTAGGGAAGTTCTACTCACTGCCTTCTCGTGGCGGGGGTGTTGTTTACGAAAATGAGAGGACGAAAAGCGAATGTCCGGCGCTTTAACCGGATTCCAAACCAATGGTGCACATGGGCTCCAGTATCCTGCGGGAACAAATGGCGTATGAACCAATTGTTGGTCACCGACTTCCATGGGACTGCATCTCCTTACGATGCTCCACTGCCTTGTGGATCAGACCCTCAGGTCAAAGGCTCCGGGTGTGGCCCCCTAAGAAAACCACCTGTTTCGGTTTGGGCACCCGGGCAGTATCACAGCCCTCACACATATCGAATGAGAGTTGTGTGGCGCATATGTATTCGGTGCCTCTTTGTACAAATATCTATGTGTTGAAATAAAATAAATTCCATTCACCTAAGTCGAGGAAGCTTCATGACCTTACCGACTTGTTTCATGATACGTGATAAATGCTTTGAAAAGAAGTATAATTGCACCTTCACAGTGAGATGGACATCCCGATTAAGCCACGATTGACCCAAGCTGGCAAAAATCAAGTTGCTTATTTTAAATCCGTGCCGATACTTCACCAGCCAAAGACCCATTGAAATTCATAAGCGGCTAACATGGTTTATTATTTCACTTTCTACAGACAGAAATGCTGACGTAGACCAGTTCCAAAGTGGTAGAGAAACGCATTTCCAAGTAATTGAAATGGATCTCAAGGGGTTTATGAAATAGCATTTTATCAGAGTTCTTGTAAACAGAACTATATCATCTACATACTTTAAGTTGATAAGTGAGTCTGATAAATTTATTACTGAAGTCAGACAGTGTTATTTTTGAAATGCCTGGGATAAATCTCGCAGCACTTACGAATATCACTTAATATTGTCAGTTCACATGACAGTTTACCATAAACTCTGACTCGACTGTGTTGTAACAGTCTACAGGAGGTTAATTTACTTCTTTGATATACCTTTGAGTGACGTGTGAATCCAACAGACCAACGCGTCATGGATAACGTAGAATTTGGCATACATCAGCGTCGGTTCTAGTTGTCACATCATATCAGCACAGAGAGATAAAATTATCAAGATGAATACCGAAGTGATAGTAGAAAAAATTAGGAATAGATCATGGAATAAACAGTCCAAAGTAATTCTGAAACCCAGGATCTAGGAATAGACAGGGAGTGAATGCATCTATGCTATTGTGACAGGTTTTGAGTCGTCATTCAGCACCTCTAACCACTGATCAACGGAGTCAAATGTAGTTTTAATGACAAACTTTATTGAGTGACGCGACTAAAAATAAAATGTACACTAGATAAGATGGCTAAGTTGTTTGTGTAAAACAAATTTAAAAGATGGATAGGTGCTGTTTTCCGATTTTCAGGTTTATTATTGACGTATTAACATCAGAAGGAAGTATAGGTAAACGAACATGAAAAGTGACAAACCATTCTGGTAGTTGGCAAAGACTTCAGATATTAACGTTATGCACCATATTTTTGCTGCATAACGTTCACAAAGCAAACTGATTATGGTTATTTAACGTGAAACTATAATTATACCATTTTGTGAAAACTTAGTTACAGCTGAGCACCAAAAATAGTATTACAAACAAACAGTAATCGGTGAGACTAGGTACCATCCAAAAGTTTTATTTGAGGTGAAATCTGCAGTCAGATGGTATTATCAGGTACCTAAACTGTATGTAACCCGTAGGTTAATACATGGTGGTTTACTGACTTGCATGAAGTACGTAAACGTCTGTGGTGTAAGATTCTAGATGACATCATTTTCAGTAAATGATGTTTTAACGTAGAACCACATGGGATCACTTAAACCCACTCCCGGCAAACGCTTTGCTCCTAAATGCCCTTGTCTGATCGAGGGTGGAAAGTTTGTTCTCTCGAGATGTTCACACATGGCCACGCTTATGCAGCCACTGTCCTGGAAGTCCTACTCACGTCTAAATCAATAAGAAGCCTAAATGTAACAAAAGTGGGTAGAACTGTAATTTACGGGCGAACCAATCAGATTTAAGGTAGCAGGTCTTCGATTTTGGCGCAAAATTTATTTATTCATATGGCCAAATAGCACTGGCATTGTAGATGATGTCAGTTCGTGATGAAAACCCCAACTACTTCTTAATCCTAATTCCTCATGCTAAATTATAGACATCATTCAATCCTGGGTGGCTAAATTGTCAAGGTCACTGGCGTCGCTCAAAGACCATCAGTAAATTATAGTCTTGACTGACTGGGCATAACGTAATAAAAGTGCAACATTGAAGCAGGAATACACGTAAAAATGGACGGATATCAAGTGGATATATGCTTTCGTTGTTGATCTTCCAATCTTACAGATAGAATCTCCAACCACTGCTACGGCGAGACTAATTTATCGATGAATCAATCAGATATAAAATGAGTTACGAATTTTGGGGCGAAATTCACCCATACATTTGGCTAAATAGAATTTTGGCATTATAGATAATGTCAGTTCGTGATGAAAACCCTGAATATATTTTTCAACCCTAACCATCAATTGTAAATGAGAATTCTAACTGTTTTATAACCCCCATTAAGTCTTAATGAGTAGGTGTTCACTCTAATGGCCACTTCAGCGTCGATCAAACGTCATCCACAAATTAGTCTCACCGACGTGTAACGTAGGGCCTAATACGAAGCGGTGGCCATAACAGTCATAATTAAGGCACTAAATCCTATAGCAATAAGACAATAATGAGGGGCAACCACAGTAGAAAACTGAAAATGGCTGTATGGAAAAATAAGTATATTGTTTAAAACTTAGAGAAAAATAGACGAGTCAGCGAGCCAATGAAGCAACTAAGTAAAACGTGTCGACAACAGTAAGTGATGAAGAAATATTAGAGGAATTCATTTTATAGAAGAAAACGAGAACTCACGACAACAAACAGGAAGAAAAGGAACGTATGACAATTAGAGAGCCTATTGATATCTTGATTCTTCATAATGCTCGGATTAAGTATTTTTATGAATGGATTTGTTAGCGCCATTGATCGGAGCTCAGTAATTAGAGTTTAAGGCAACCGTATCGTGAACCGAAGAACCTAGCTTACTAGTTCTGGTCGAGGAGTAACTGCGTGAAAATGGGTCTGCAAACACGAAGGTAAGACGACAAGGGTTAGTAGTTTTACAAAGACTATGAAAACAAGTATGGTGTTGTCGACCGCGTACAATCAACTAAATATAATCCTATTAGACTAGCCGAAAATATAGCACAATTAAGAATAGTTCAACACATAAAAGCCATACCGTACTACTTTCAAGTAGAAACCAAAAACTCAAGGTTCGTTTGTGTAAAAGTAGCCTCGTGTATAACCACACGTCTAAGCTCCGAAAGGCCGCGCCCAGACCTTGAGCCCAATGCCAATTCCCATGACATCTAATATCCAATATGTTGCTGCTGAGTTGGTTCAAACCGCAAAGTACGTACTTTCTATTGTTTCAAAAAGCTTTTAAACTAAGACAAAACTTACTTCAATGAGTTTGGTTAAATCATCAAAATGACTCAATCAGATTTAAATTGAGCGCGCCATTTAAAAATAAAAGCGGTATTATTTCTCCTTGAGTTAAATTCACTGTTTTGATGGCAGATTAATCATCGAAAGCACTGTTCCCACATTAGTTGAATTTATTTCAGTTAAAAGGATATTTTACTCGTGTGTACTGACTCTGCTTTCGTGCGTTTATTTCATCAAGTCATACTCGGTCGACTTTGACCTGGTTTATTCGTTTAAGGTCTGAAACCTTTTTACATATCCATCTTCGTGTTACTATTTTTGGTTGGGTTTTAAGATGATCGGCTCTGCTAAAAAATATGGACAACTTTATTGCTTATTCTCTGTGGAAGAAGGAATACATATTGATGAATGTATGCAGTGGTTCCATATTATATGTACCCGCTTGAATCCCACTCCCTGTAAAAGGTGTTCAAAGCTTAAATCGGATAGGATTTGTATGCTTAGTTGTTCGAGCAAGGCATTACTCATTTAAGAGGCAACTAGCCTTCTGGAGTTGGCTAACAATGAGGTTGGTGAGTGCTGTACCGGTAACATGGGTACTGATAGCAAAGAATGTGTCATTATGTTGTTACGGCACATGCTAGACATCCAACATGCAATAGGCATTTACATCCCAAAACTATTAACGAGCGAAACACCATTAGATACGGTTGGCCAAGTTGCTACAGCAGAAACTGATGACCCAAACAAAGACATTGTCGTCCCGGGTAGTACTGATGTGGATGTTGCAACTGATGTGAAATGGATAACGCGAAGACAGTGAAATGAAAAAGAGGTGGTCAAAAATAGTTCCCTTCTGGCTGAAAAGACCTTGGTTAACACACATTATGCATTGTATATAGTTCCGCAAATGTCCCAAAGTAAGACAAAATTTAACCCTGTCGTAGATGAAGAACATTTATCCCATCAAACAGAAACGTGAACAATTATGTGCCGACAATGTATGTATTAAATTCGTCGTCTTAGCATGTCCGACCCTGGAAGGCATATAATATTAAGAACCAAAACCAGTAATTTGTGGCTTTCTACGACGTATATTACATAATTACTCTAAATGCTTGCATCAAAAAATTATTTTTTCTGTGAACTAGTGATTCACTCGACAAATCTATGCTAGTAGCGTGGAGGTTTTCATCGCATTTGAATAATCAAACAGAGGAATAATGTAGGATCATGAGGAAAATAGGTCAAAAAATTAGATCAAAAACTCACCAAAGTAAGCGGTTTTCAGCACATGGTATCAATGTCATTAGCTTTTTAAAATATATTAACTAAATTTAGATAGTGAGGCATCTTTGTCGTTTCACATATCACGATTCACACCTGATTATTAACATACACTCCACATTAAGGATACTAGGACATCTGTGTTCTGAAATATATAATTTTCCTTCTCAGATACATGTTCTATTCGTAGGTGTTAATGTCAGGTGGCTATGAGCTAGCCTATGATGAGTATATCATGGTAACAATATACATTTATTTCATTCTAGAACGAGAGTAACTGTATTTGGTTAGCTCACTCCGTATGTCTTCTTTAATTTTTGGTCCAGTACAAGATGATTACTGCGCAGTTGTAATCACGAATGAGATGTGCGTCTACCTTATAATATTATACGGACTGTGTAAATTGGTTTTACTCAGTCACGCACTTTGTCTGCCATCGCATCGATGCATCGTTCTTGGTTGTTTTTATCTAATATGATCGACTTGTTACATGGTTTTCGTATTGAAAATCTCTTTTAATTTGTGAGTATTCATCTCTTTCATAACAAACGAATTCTGCGTTGTTTGAGGACTCACTTACCTGATATAGAGCGGTTTTGATTTTAGCTTATAAAAAGTGCTGATCAAGCATTTCGTAAACAGATGGGAATTTAAACTCATATTTATGGCTGATCACACCAACGTTATCACTGATTCACCGTATTTTGATACATAAATATAAATGAGTGACTATTCAGAAAATTACGAAGGGAATCAAACTCAAACTCAAGGATCCAAAGAGCTCCGTATTTAATTAGTGATGTATCAAGATACTACTGTAGGTGGTTAATTATTTACTTCACCCCGTTAACTTTAATAAAATTAGAGACTGATGGAGCTATATTTGAAGCTATAGTTGATTGTGTGTATAAACAGCATGCTGCTACTTTGCATTTTATTAAAAGCATGTAGGATTTTACATGCCAAAAAGCATGCAATGATTCATTTGTTCAATTGAATTGGGATTTGTTAATTCGCCATTAATTTACATACTTTTAACAACTGTATACTCGTGGAACTTGTCTTTTTACGGAGCTTTTATAGTCAATAAGGATATGTAGAACTTATGGTCTACTATGATATTAGTACTGCTCTAATAATAAACCTAATCCTAAATCTGTGGATTTGTCATGATATGACTGCCTAATCTATAAGATCTTACGTGGAAGTCACACCATCAACTACACCAACTCACTGTATCGTATCAATTACCAATACATGATGTAGAACAAGGTTAGGCTAGAGAAAGAACAATATATTTAATATGAAAAGAAGATATAAAGTAACATTCAGCAGAAACCACGCCTGCATGGCCGAGCCATGCCGTTCGATCAACTCTAGTTTATTCAATTCATTATTCGCGCCTTCTCCATCGTTAGGTATTTCTTCGCGTTAAATATTGAATACCTATTTTCCGAGTAATCTCGTATTCAGCTTTGAGGATAGTGTGGTTATGGTCCAATGCCACTACACTACTCTCCCACCAGAATCAACGTAGTGTTGGTTCGATACCAAATTGGATGGGGTCGTCGCGCGCCGGAGGTTACCAAGGATAATAAGAATCCTCCGGGTGATGACAAGCTGAAAGATAAATCAAAAAGACGGCAGCATCTGGTCGGGAAATACATGTAATAATTTTGAAATATCTGCCTTCATGCTTAAAACGCTTACAACGAAAATTTGAGTGATTATTTGAGCAATAAAAAAAATTGGGATTACAATAATAGTAATAATAAAACGATGCGTGTGTAATAGCCGTTGGTTGACAACTTAACGTATAGGTAGTATGTATTTTGTGTTTAGAAATATTAAAGTTATGAATATTGTAGAAATGTTAATATTAGTACCACTTTTAGTCTAACTTATGAAATCAAATAACGATTATGCCGGTAAGTTGTCCATATGAGTCGATTTCCAATTGCATCTGTATTAGTAGGCTAACTGAAGGAACAAAAGCATTATCGTGGAGAAGAATTCCAACTAGTGTTCCAGTTAGTTTGATACGGTTTATTTAGTTACGGGGAGATTTTTTCAACCCCATGTTTACCTGACCGTGATAGAATTTAGTAATACTACTAATACACATGAATGGTTATCAAAACAAAATTTAAATACATGAGTGAAAATTATATGAGTTTTGGACAGATAGCTAAGAACAAATCGTTAAACATGAGTGTATTCGTAAGAGACATGCTCTAGACTCAATGTTCTGATCTGTGGCAGACTATTTATTTATATTTATACTTGCCGGCTGATTGGACATACAAGTTAGTTGCACGTATGAAGGCAGAATACGACTTAATTGAGATATAGTGGTTATAAGTTATTAAAATTAGCTAAGCCCATGTGTCATATTACTAAGTGATGTGCTGCAAGATGTATTTAGCTAAATAATTTTTTTACAAGATGATTAATAGTGAGTGATGCTCATGTGATTATCAGGGAGAACATAAGTTGTAACCAAGGGGAGTGCACTCCCAACTCATGCCTATGATAATAGCTTGAACCTTAGTCAGTGTTGGGGTAAATTCAACATTTATGTTTTCAGTTTGCAGGAGATTTGCTCGACTGCTTATACTGATTATTTGCATGCATGATTGTGTCGCTAAACCATCAACTAGACTGACAAGGTTTTGAGATATTTACTGAATGAGCAATTGATAGAGAAACATACTGTAATCATCTGTAGTGAATGAAGAAAAACAACACTAGTGATAATTATAAGTCAATTTGCTGACCTATTTTGTTAATAGTTTCATTAATTTTTATCAATCATATTACGTGATTGTCAAGTCATGACAATGCTTTATGAAGATATCCTGAAACTATTATGTTTAACTAGTTATAGTGTTGATTGAAGATTGGCCAGTGGAAAAATAGGCATTGTTGTTTTAGGTGATTCAAAATTATCAGAAATTTATAACGTTAAAGAATCCGAGACGCCTAATTTAATTATAAATTTCAATTCAGAAATATTTGTTTAATGTTAATTTTAGTAGGCTCCGGAGCTCTGATGTTAAACATCTATTTAGCCAAAAACTACCTGAGATTTTAGTTATTTTACAAGTGTAGTTGATAGTCTCTAAATTTGTAATTTTATTATTTAAACTATGTCCGTATTTTAGGCTGCTAATATGATAAACCAATCCATAAACCCAAATACGATTAGCAACAACGACTATGATGGGTTTATTGATAAATGTTAAAGGCGATTCAGATGATTTCTGAATTCAAAAGACATGAAGATATAGTGTAACGTATGTATGAACCAGGCTAACATGCAGGTTGTTGACGTATATGACGATTTAAAAATAATGAACATGACCAGACAAGTAATTTTAAAGTTTAGACGGCTTGTGAAACTTCAGGCAGGAATATGACGCGTTATAAACATTCCATAAGAAGTTACTGCATTTAGCCTAGGGATACTTACAAATATATGGCAAAAGCAGCTAGGAAACATACATGTTAAGTACAAAAAATCATTAAGTGAAATGGTTGAACTCGCCTGGATTATTTTTGAAAATTAGATTATTCAGTGGACGACATATATAACGCCATTCGTGAGGAGTAATGATCCAAAAGTATCCACAATAAAACATGCAGTATGGCAATTAATTCCAGGGTGTTTGATGCTGTTGCCACTCGCTCAGATCAAAACAATCGAATGAATCCAGATAATTGTGTCAGCCATTGAACGAGCCATCTAAAATGACCTTATGATTGCAGGAAACTTATGGCTGAAACTCAC